GCCAAGGCACGTTTGCGAATGAGGTAGTTGAACAGGAATCCGAAAATGAACCAGAGCGAGTATTGTGCTGGGCCATGTTAGCATTTCTTCGTATGCTCGGATGGTATGAAGGAGCAAACAAACTAGTATTGGCAGGAGGAATGTTTCCTGCAGCGTTGAAGAAAATGGGCACGTTGACATATTTGACCCAACTCTGCGGATAACGTCGGTAGATCAGGTACACAATCACCGTCACAACGGGCTGGCTCTATCAGCAAGTATACAACATATGAGGAGCAGATCAAACATACACCAATGAGAAAGAAGTACATCAGCGAGTGATAGACTTGCCCGGACTGAAACATCCGCTGTGGTCCAATGGTACCCCAGATTAGACTAGCGTTATACATTACCTTGGCGCCAGCGCAGGTAAATCGCTGGGCATTGTCGGTATCGCATAGCCCCGAAATATTTCCCATCATCCACCGGAGCACTACCTATCATCAGCTTGTGTTCTTTGGTTAATAATCATGCCCTTACCTCCGGTCTGCGTCATTGTGGCGAGGATGCTGGCATATATCTGTCCGAAGAACAGGACACGGGGAGGAATTTTCTAGACCTGTTAATACTTGCGGCTTGCTATCGATCAGTTAGACTCACCATGTACTGCCCCATTTTGAGGTCCTGAGCAAAATCCATTCCATGCTTAACGGCATTATACCCGTAACACTTGACCATCATGTTGGCGATGGGCTTGCCCGGCCAAGCGTAACCAGCGATCAGCTCTGTGATAATATTGAGGAAGATACGCTGGTTTGTTGTCCCCTCGAGGATGCCTTCTGGGACAATGAGTACCACGCCCATTCCACAGCATACCACGATGAAACCCCAGACCGGCAAACCCGTCTCCCAATACTTCGTGGTGAGGATTCCCAGGCCCGCCATGACAACGAACAACGCGCCGTACCACCAGTCTGGGACTTCAGGGTAAGCACGCATCAAGCGACGATGGATGTCTTCACCACCGTGACGAGCGTTCTTGAACTTGGCCCAGATCTCGGATCCGTTGTAAAGGTAGGTGTGAACCACAATGGCTGTCACCGCCGCGAAGGACAAGCCGTAGGTGAGCGTGTACGACATGGAAAGATACATTGGCGAATACTCTTTGTATTTACTGAGGACGAAATCCCCGTTAGAGTCGACGACCCGGGTCACATTGTATTCGCTTCCGGTGTTGTCGAAAGTGGAAGAAGAGAGCAAAGGCAGGCTGAGCATGCTGTTAACAGACATCTCCATGTGTATCCAAGGTTGGGCACTCACTATGCGCTAAACCAGACATCCTTGTAGTATAGGATTGGGGAGAGGAAGAGGTAGAAAAAGACTACCACGGCAAAGGCATTGCAGGTAATGTAGAAAGGGGTCATAAGAGGGTATCCGGCGTAGTTAATCTGCGTCCAGTCCAGACTGAGCGGCAGCAGCCCCAGACCCGAGTTCATCTACCCATGTCAGCAAGCCTATGGAAGCATACTGTATGTAAGACTTACACCAAAGATAGTGTTGACCTTCTGGTTGTGCGGTGCAATCCAAGTGACGAATGCAAATGCGCTAAGAGTTGTCCAGATGTAGTCGGGGAACCAGTAGATGGCAAAGGCAAACAGAGTCGCGTACCCAAAGAAGCTATACCGACTCAGTCTCCAACCGTTGGCGGGTGCGGTATTTTGGGGCTCATGCAGGGCACGGAACAAGACCGTGGAGGATAGAGATTGAGGCCAGATCAAGGCCGCAGGATAGACGAGCCAACGCCGGCACATTCCAGCAAGGCCGAACCTATATTGTCAGGCAGGTGTGCTGGTGGGAAGTGCAATTGGAACACTTACCCCATCATTTGCGATGTCAAGAGGTATAGGAATGAGAACCCCGCCCCGTAGTCCTTGCCCCAATATTGTGGCATAACGATGGCTACGAGGGAGCTGGAGGCATAAGCAATTGAGGCACTGATGTTCACACACTGGTTCAATTAGACTTTTGGGTACAAACGCCATAGTATACTTAATTGCGCTTACAATGGTAATGAGTGCATGCTCCTTGATGCTGAACGGCCCCGGGTTCAAGTCAAAGGACAATCTTCCAAGAGGTATCCTCCATCGCGGCAGCCTCTCCCATCCTCGTCCGATGGGGTAGACGAGTAACTGAGCGACAACATATTGGACAGTGAGGGATGGCTAAACAGTTAGTTCCAGACACGACGTACGAATGGAGGTTCGCACGTACATATCGCAGACTGAAAAATTGATTGACTGCCGCGAAGACCATAACAAATATCGTGGTCAGAACCCATGCCCGGAATGCTGTGTTACATCAGTATGTCGGCCAGTACACCCCTCCATTCGCCTGGACAGAATTGACTGACTGTTGCATGGTAAGGTAGGATCATCGGTGTTTGGCACACACGCAGCGACTTCTGGAACTGAATAACCGCTATCAGTGAACGAACCATATCAGCCAAACAGGCCAGCAATACTCACAGGGCGATTGGTCCCCCTCAACGTTCCACTTGAAGGCCTCGAGAGGAGTAAGCTCCTTCTGTTCGGCGACAATGTTCTGCCTTTTCAGATCATCATTCTCCTCGAGCAGCTCGGCGTCCACATCGGTGACACCAGCTTGCTTAGTCTCGATGGCATCTTTGGCCTCATTTTCTGGATGATGAACCGAATCCATGCCTGCTGCCTCCTGAGTAACAAAGAGGACAACGTTTGGCGCAGGAGCGACCGAATGAGCAAGCCTTTGTAAGGAAATATGCACCGAGGTCAATAATATTACCCAGGAGCGCCCATAGACCCCGCGGATACCTGCATCTTATCTGTCACAACGATTGAGCAGGTACCACAAAAGTGGCAGGAGTAGCTGCAGTCTGGCGATAGTCCCACCGTAAATGATAACAACCCGCAGGTGAAGCACACCATCCTATCGGGGGAGACGCTTAGCAGATTGGTTCCCTTGCTCCTAACCCCAGCAGGCCAAGACCGACCGTGAAGCTCTAGCGGATGCAGTGTCACCAACCGTGAAGGTTTGTGATAACATGCCGCTCAGTCCACGAGTCATATCCACTTTCAATGGTGGCATCGGAGCGCCCGACACCGGATGGCCATTGTGCATATTTCGGCGCAGTTCTGGAATCCCGCGCGAAGTTTTAGCCAGAGGAGTCGCCATGTGGCAGGCAGCAATCATCCAGGGTTGACGAGCCCTACCAAACACCATTGGGGTCAACTCTTGCGTCTTCTATACTAAATCCATTGATTAAGGTGGTCCGACGTTGATTCTGTCTTTTGGCGTTGGATGGCGTGCTGGAGCACCGCGTTGACTGGCCTTATCGCCGACAGCGCTGAGGGGCCAGGATGGAGCTAAGGATGGAAGCTAATCGATGGTCGATCAACCATCTTCTCCAAGCTTGTTAGCACGTTTATCTACTTATCGGAGTTCAGCTTATTGGCCGCGAGTTTCCGAATCCTGGTCAGGGCTAATTGCTACTCCATTCCCCGCTTTTCGAGAGGTATTCTCCCGGTAGCCATCGCGCTCATGCCCTTGTCACTCCCTGCAGCGGGTGGCAATCGTGTGATCAATTCACGCTGATTTGCTCCCTATTAGAGTGAAAAAAAAAAGCGAATTAGTGTGTTGGGGTGGGGTAGTACCCCGATTCAGGTCTTACATTCCCATCAGCCGACATCCTGGTTAGTAGAATGCAGCTAAGGCAACACTGAGATGTAGGGAGCTGGCAGGTGATAAGATGTCATATTTGTCTCTTTTACTAGTTTACATGGTCCCCACAACTACTCTGACACCACATTTGTAGATAGACACTCCTCTTCCATCCACAGTGGCATGGTCTGGACGAGGCCCAGCAATGACGAACACGGTCAGTGTGTGGATTCTTGTGCCCAGACGTACGGAGTTCTATCCCAAGAGAGAAGGTCTGGCCAGTGGCCGCGGACGCCAGCCTTAAAGGATTTAGTCCAGACAAAAATGGGGGTGAGAATTCCAGCGGATGCTCCCAAGACAAGGCCAATACACGACAAGCATTGTGGAAAGAATAACCATGGCCATGGCTCACATATACATGGAAGGAAGCAGAAACATCTAGCTCCTGATTGGATTGTTTTGGGCCAGAAGGTGTCCGAGCGAGCGATAGGAGAACCTTCAGCTGCGGTCAACGCCGATCGCCCTGGTGTCCCGGTCAGCTGGCCCTTTTCAACCTAATGCTGCATATATACAACCAGTTGGCTGGTTATATTTTGGAACCAAATGTTCCTAGATACTTTCTCGCTAATGGTAGTCGGCTGCCAGGACTTTGCCGATCGCGCTGCGCAAAAATCATTTGAAAAAAGCAACTCTTTCCCACAATCAAACTGGGATGGGCAAGTTCAATACCACTTCCGGGGTGTCCGAGCCGAGGTTACATTATAACCATGCTCATCGGTCTCACTTTTTGTTCTTTTGGGTAATGCATCCCTTGCACCGACCTCGCGTACCGTCTGAATTTGAGTGCCGCAAGGGAAAGACCGTTCAACACCCATCGTCTCTTCGTTTGTCTCAAATGCAGAAAAGCAAGGAGTTCTGATATAATAACCGAGTCAAGCAATAATAAACCCGCCCGCCGAGCGGTACGATGTTAGAATATGCGCCTTGAAATGTGGCCCATCATAATGCCCAGCAGGTACCAATCTGGTGTGCAGGACGGTCTGGTAAGTGCCAGAATATTTCAATGTTGTCGTCGCTTACAATATGTTCCACTGCCTACATGAACTTGGAGGATGCCGTCTATAAGAACGGCAGGCACAGAGCCAAGCGGTGGGGACGGTGGATGACATGGGCCGGACATAAGATCGGCAATAACGGTGGAGAGCGAAAATCATCGTTGCAAACCAGTGCCTGCCCCTCCAACACAGCATTATAGCGTTCTCTAGGTGTCAGTTCGAGCAGTGCTACCACTCATCTTGCACGTCGCATCTCTACGTGGATCAGCCATGCGGGAAGCAGTAGGTGGACATGCGGCTGCTCACCGCGACGCCACATCACCGCCGCAGCAAATTGAGCTTAGACTCGAGGATATGTGGATCGGTGTGACTGATCCGAAGGAAAGGCGCAGGTTGCAGAACAGGTTAAATCAGAGGGCCCGAAGTAGGTTGGCGAACGAGTCTCTGCCGAGTGGGCTGGCTGACGATCCAGATAGGGCGCCGCCAGCACTTGACTAAAGCGCTGCCCGAAAGATCTGAGCCGTACTATCCTCACGCGTGGTCTACAACAGGGTCGACGCCCTATCAACTCGATTTTCAATGTTTGGATGAACTCCGTATCTTTGGTCCGCTTGCCGCGAAGTCCCGCAGTATCCTGCAGCAACTAGAGGCTATGGTGCATGTTGAGTTTGCAACTGGCTCACCACACGCCGATATGCGATTGGGAATAACTCGGTTAAACATTTTGCGGGCATTGTACACCAATGTTGAGATTTTGGGTTATAATGCCAAAGATATGGCGGCTGACGAGGCGCTATCAATGTTTGCCCTGATTGGACCACGATGTCTAGCAACAATCGGTCGGGAGGCTCTCCTGCCACCTGCATTGCAGCCCACAGAGATTCAACGAACCGTGACCCATCATCCCTGGCTTGATCTCATCCCCATACCTAGGATGCGCGACAATCTGATTCTGATGGAGAATTTGATGGACGATCGCCAATTGTGTCGGGATATGTGCGGCTACCGCTCTCAGATACCTCGGTCGGGGCATAGACGTCAGACGGGGATAGGAGAAACGGGCGTGATCGTGTGGAAAGACCCCTGGGATCCCGCTGGCTGGGAGATCACCGAGACTTTTTGGGAATTGTGGGGATGGACCGTCAAGGATTGCTGGGACTTGTTTCGTTCCACCAATGCATGGCGGATGCGTCGGGGAGAGAGGCCACTCTTTGTGATACCTTATGCCGGTAACGACTAGTGTAGTGAGAATGCATATGCTTTCGGAATATACTTCTCGTCTGTGGCTTTGATCATCTAGAGGAAGTGTCATTAGGTCGAACTCCTACTACAGCCTACTCATAGGAGGAGTATAGGTGATACATAAATTTGTTGCAACCCCGGGTTGAGTCAGCGGCGGATGTTATCATCTGGCGATCGCCAGTAGACATTGTTTACCTAAGTATAATCAGTGACCATACATCTCTTCTATTTATAATAAGGTGGTGACAACAACCGGTTTCAACCATGGAGCGTATAGGCGATGTGCATACCCTCGATGATCCGTAGAAGTCAGCCAGCCATCATCGCCAGGGAAAACCGCGGCTTTTCCCGATTTGGCCTGATTGTCAGCATTTAATGCTGCACTAATCCCATTCGGTACACCGTCTAACCGGAGATGGTTAGCTTAGCGAATCATGAGAGACGTTTATCTCGGAGCCTGAGGCAAGAAAATAAGAAATGATTGTGACAGCCAGATAGCCTGCGTGAAGAGCTCGTGGATGTCATCAGTCAGAGGCAGGCACATCCCCGATACCACTACTGTTGTGAAACATTCAGATGTGGATACCTCTTCCACCACTGACACGATCGCGAGCAGGATTGGGCATCACTGCGACTCGATGGGTAGGACAGAAAAAGCACACAGCTGCAGTCATACCCTTCATGACAGATCTCCATCCATTCCATTGCATTGACTTGATAACATTATCATCATAGTACATGATAAACTGAGATAACAGTTGATATGCAAACATTGAAGGTCATAACACCAGACGCCTCCATCATGCCCCTTCAATTATAATTATACGCCCCTAGATTAGACATACCCTTTCCACACATCAAATCAATCCTTCTTTTGATGGCTCAGTGCACGACCAACTCTGTTCTCGCCCGTCTGCCCGCCAACCATGGTATGGATGTCCTTTTGCGAGTACAGCTTCTCTTCCTTGCTTGGTGACTGTGCGCGGAAGAACATCCAACCACCAGCGATCATTCCGATCACACTGAAAATGGCAATGTTGCGAGAGCTATATTGGTCAATAAATCACGCATGATACATTCGAAAATGCAGAAAGCAGAGACATACCGAACCGAGGGCGGGTGACCGCCAGTAAGACCTCCAGCAGCGGCCATTGTGTTTTGAGAACGGTAGAATTGTGAATAAGTTATATGACCGACTAGACAGTGAATAGGCCGATATGATATAGTATATCTGTGCTGTGTATTGTTACTTCCAAGAAACGAGGGCTTGACTGTTAATATAGCTCTAGATGCGATGGCGGGTGGGTGACGTCAAAATTAAGCGTCCGTCCGTCGGGAGAGCGACAGTCGGTTCGTGTTCCGGCGGATAAGCTTATAACCTCTTTGTCTTTTTCACAAGCTGGCTTCTACTTTTACGAGCTTGCGTCAGGGCGACGTTATCATGGTTGAACCGAGGGGATCATGTCCTGCAATGAGAGATCCCTCCTTGTGTAACTGCGTGGCAGCGGCTTGGATTCTAGAATGGCTGCTGTTCACCCTTAACATTACTGACTATTGATAAGATCTACGACAATGGCAATGGCCCTATACAGTAGATAGCTTTGTTCACGAGGAATAACAAGACCTAGCCTGAAGGCAGTGGCAGGTAGGGCAGACTAGTCACGACATGCTCATCATGACACGAGACACATTGAGCTACAATAGTAACCGAAGGTACAGCAATCAAAGTAACCCTAAGTATCACAATTCACGAAACAATGCAATTCTACTCAATATTCAAGCTTTACACAGTGAACTCAAACAAGTCTAGCCCCGTCGCGACCCAAACCCGATCGATAAAGTGCGGCAACGGAAGCTATACAAAGCACCGACGTCATCGAGTCCGGACCGCGGCGATCGATCGATCCACATTCTATCCATTCTCAACAATTCCAATGTTATCGCAAAATTCCAATCGTTTACAATATTCCCCCACTAACCTCAACCAGAACGCAACGCATACACACAAGAAATGTGTACCAAACGTCCATCTGGCCCCTACTTCTTCGGGGGACCGCAGTAAGTCCATCCATCTAAACCATCACATCCGTTCCCACCTAACAAACCACCAAATCAAAGATGTTGGTCCTCCACCGATTGGACCTCCTCTGATGACCGTGTCCGCGGTGGCTCTTCGCAATCTCACCTCACCACCAACGACGACACCAACACCGTCACCTTCCACGGCAATCTCGACATCAAGACCCTTGGCGGAGCAGGCTTCGCCTCGCAATACACAGCCAGTACAACCGACTTATGGGATCTGAGTAGCTACGCTGGACTGGAACTCTCTATCCCTAACAGTGATGGACACACGTACACCTTGAACCTGAGGGATGAACTGCAGGATCCTCGACCGGATGGGCGCCAGCGGAGCGGGTTGGTCTGGGAGGCAAAGTTCAAGGTCGAGAAGGGGCAGACGAAAGTAAAATTGGGGTGGAGGGAGTTTCGGCCGACGTATCGTGGGAGGGAGGTGCATATGGGGAGACCGTTGATCCTGGCGGGGGTGAAGCAGTTTGGGATTATGATTCGGAGGTAAGTGTCTTTTTTTCTGTATTGGTTGGTTGGGCTGGGGGTGTTTGTCTGGTGCTGACATGGTTGTAATAGTTTCTTCGGGGAACAGGAAGGGGATTTTGAATTGGAAATAGAGTGGATAAGGGGTATTGAGAAAGAACAGAGACGGTATAAGGATGACCCGAATGATTTTGAGGATGATGAATATTACGATGAGAAGCATTTTAGCGACGATCAAGAGAGCAGGGGCCTAGGATGGCTATGCTGCTGGTGATGATGCTATATTACCTCTATCAAGAAACACCAATAAACGCCAAATTGAGCAACTATCATCTACTCATAGTTCAGCACTTTCAGCATATTCTCCCGTCTTGACAAATGTCTCGATAACACGAATCAACCGACCCAGTTTGACAGCGTCCTCCGCTCCCACCGTCAGGACGGCATGGCTGCTCTCCTTTTTAGAATCGGTGACCCATGCATTTATTATCAACCTTCCTTGCGCAATATCCGCCGCGAAGAGTTCCTCAAACGCATTCTGCGTGCAAGGAATATCTAAGCGGGAGAGAACTGCCGCTTCACATAAGCCACGTTGCATGAAATGGGTCTTAAGCAGCCCCAAATGGTAGGATCCGGTAACGCGTGGATTGACATCGACTATAACATGCTCCCCATTTGCATCTGTCATGACATCGGCTCCCACCGGCCCGTAGTACCCTTTGTTGTGCAACGCTTTGGCCAAAACCTCTATCGTAGATCTATACCGATCCTGAAACATGGGTTGCAAGAGGTACGACACGCACCCACCATTCCAGAACCCTTCCTGGGTGAAACGCTGTCGAGACGTGGCCAGGTACACCGCACGGCCCTTTTTAGTAACGAAAAATGTGACCCCATGGGCCTCACCTGGCACTAGCTCCTGAATGACGAAGCTTGCAGGGTACAGTTGCTCATTCTCTTCATTGACTTTCTTGAGCCCATCTTCGAGGAGACCCCGTATCTCGTTAATAGCAGTGCCTCTATCCGATTCACGTCGGATAACAAATGTTCCACAGCCCGAGGTAGCAATAGATATTTTAACCACAAAGGGGAAGCTTTGCTGCTGAACAGCTTGCAGCATCCGTCTGACTTCTGCGTCTCGGCCTGCTATCCAGGAGTTTACCGGTAGCGGATCGATAACCTTGGACTTTGGTGTTGGCAGACCACTCACGGCCAGCCAACGCTTAGACAGGACCTCGTAAAGCATCTCTGGTTCTAGTGCTTGATTTAACATTGCGCACATATGATCATGCGGCACAATGAATACTGCACGCGAGTCCGGGGTCAGTTGGACATCGTGCGTACTCCTGACTATTTGCGCGTTGGGCCGTTGCTCCGGGCTCAATTGGTCATAGAGACGCCGTAATTCGTCCTTTGACGTTGTCAAGAGGCTTGAAACTTCTTCACCCCCATTCCCACTCAGGTCAATCATCAGGACAGGGGTACGACCAGCCACGAAGGAATATCGTTGGGCGACACCGCGCTTCTGTAGGTTCGGCATCTCCCCTTCTGCATTCATATCGGGGAAATTGGCAGCGTACAGAAACCGCGGATACGGAGACGAATTGAGTTGGTCGTGGGGGAATTTGCAAGGGTGATCATAAGCGAGAACAATGTTTTCGGGAGTGTCATTGTCCAAGGAGTACAGGTCGTGTAAAGTACAGTCGAGTGTAATAGGGACTTTAGTGATGGCCGTCTTCGTTGAGGTATAAGGCTCAGGCGGCACCACTGGAAGTGGCTGAGGAAGTGTCACAGCAGTCATTATTGCTTGTAAGCAATGGCGAGTTTCGATGCTCTGATTCTTTTTTTGCAGCTCCCTAGAAGACTTTCGCTTGAAGATATGGCCTCTGAGGATTTATGCGTGAGCCACCTCAGATCAGCCCTAACACATGACACATTGTCCATGGAACGACGACATCACTACCTGACGGCCATAACTTCCTGTAGTTAGTAAACGTCAAGAGACGTCATTAAGAAAGATGATTACCGTTCGCGGTCGGAATTTCCGCGAAAGTTGAACAAAACTCCCCGCGGATCAATCCATCTGGTAGCCCACCACCCAGGGAGATAGCCAGAGATAAAATCAGTCCTAAAACAAGTGGATCATTGTTGGAGTCATCGATCTTTGTCCCGGTTCAGCGAGTGGGCGGGCACTTTCCCCACGACTTTGACGGGTCCTGTAGATCGATGTAACCCTGGGAAGTTGTGGGCTCGGGTATATCGGGACCCGCATTTGGAAGTCTGTAATGTACCAAGATTTTCAATTAAGATCGTGCACGGGGTTTAGGGGGGCCTCGCTATCAAGAACCCTTCCAGTTGTATCAATTCACAGTACTGAGTATTCCAATGTATCAGTACAGACATTACTTAATACATGGAGAGTGGAGGATTGAACGCGAAAGTGGGAAGAAAGGGTCAAGGAAAGGAATATCGGACACGCCTATCTGTTGGCTCCACCTATCTAGTGATTAGCTGCCCACCAAGGCAGTTTCGTCTTCCTGAATGGTCTAACCCTGCCATCCTGGCAAGCCAGTGCACACCCCACTCTTCCAACAAAGCTTCGTAGCCAGACATTTGCGGCAAGGGTTTCCATTCTTTCATACCCCCGGATATGGCTGAGAACTACCGCAGACGTCCAGGGTGGCTTCATGCCTCTGGTAACCTTCCTAACCGTATCCAATCATGAATAGAGTGCTCCACTCTGAACAATGGAATGTCAGGAAGCTGTTTAGCTCGGCCCGTGCTTTTGCTTGATCAACCATTCATCCATGGCTGAATGGCGCATATATACCATGGCATATTCGCTAAGACTTCCAGAGCTTTAAGTGAGCATAATCAAATCAAATTAAAGAGGCTATAGAATCCCGCATGTCAGCCTTTCAATTCCATGATAGTCAGTTTACATCTCCTGGTTCTCATGTTCCTGAGTGTGGACTTTGCTGGGCGCACAAGAAGCGGCCTTCAGAATCTTGATATCATCTCGGCGTCCCCGAAACTCTAGACTGCACTCTGAACGGAGGGAAGTTAGTTTACCTATGCCGCTCGGACGGCAGTAGAGTCCCACGAGTGCAAGTCCACATCGAAGCAGAGATTGCAAGATCACATACATGGTTTGCCAAGAATTGGGGAAGTCATTCACCAGAGGCCAATGGCATGATGTTCGATGCCGTCTCCGAGGATCAGGTCAGCTGTACGAATGTATCGAGCCATCAGAGCAAGCCTGGCTCATTATAAGCTTACATCTTGGCAGCAGAATTAGCTTTCGGAGTCAACAATAAGCTAACCTGTGTAACATGCGGAAGGTGTGCAGTTGTTCAGGGCACCTGCGATGGATGATGCTGTCCTGAATTGACGGAACCCATTCTTTCATCACATATATCCAGAGCGGATATGGGAATTAACACGACGTGTGTGTTTTACCTTCCTTCGCACAACCTAGCCCTGCAATATGTAGGAACCCAGTGGCCTTGAAATATAGGCGTAAAGGCTTTAGGTTGTGCACAAAGTCGACTGCGGTATCCTCCGCTCGTTGCACAAGCCTTGAATGCGGGGAGGATGACTGGGAGACTGTAACAACCCCATACTTGAACCGACAACTGTAGCATTCTCCCATCTTGGCGTCGGTGGTTCCTGCGCCGAGGAGGGCGTGTTGTATGAGCAGAAGTAGTAGGCTTGACTTTAAGGAACACAGAGGGGTGTCTCGGATACCCTCCGAATCGAATTGATCCAGTACATCCTCCGAGACAACAAGTTTCCATTGACAATAAGTAGTACAGTAATAATCATGCGATGGAAGGAAACAAAACTAAATGAAAGGTTCGTAGAAGTTGAGGTCTAACGAAGAGCTTAAATAGACCTAGCCTTCCCCAGAAGGCATCATTCTCGAGCTCGATCACGACAGGACCCACTATCAGATTGTCGACCCAATAGTTGATCTCTAATATGTATGTACAACTTCGATCTATATTGTAAGTATGCTAACAAACCAATCAGCATAATCATGAGATTCACCCTGCTCACATCCATGGCCCTCCTGGGTCTTGCCCTTACGGCTGCAACGGAGTCCAGCACTGATGATGTTGGCAGCACCAAGGTTACTGATGGCACTCTCGATGTATGAGCCAGAACCCACAATTTCGTCTGCAAGCCTAACTTTCATTACCTCAACAGGTAAACTACTGTGGCGAACGCTGCGAATATGATTGGGAATGTCGTCGCGGAAACCGCTGCCACGAATGCCGCAAGCAGCACCATGAGGTGAGCATTCTTGTCCTCTGCTAGATCGCCTACTAATTGTGGTTACTAGCGCTATGGCCGCTGCCGCGAGCGATATGATTGAGCTTATCCCCGACTCGGCCTGGCAAGGTGAGGTAGGCAGAATGAAGTACGGTGGTAGTCGGAATGGAAGTTGAAATTAAGCCGTTTACCTTAGGATCAGATACTTAATCAAATATGTTGCTTCTCGAGAAAGTGAGAGCATTCCCGTAGTTGGTACCTTCCAATGCGAGTGGACTGCCAGTAGATTGTGTAAAGTGGCATATACCGAGACGGCAGGCATCAGTTGATATGTTGTGATGGCATGGGGGCAGTATACTACTAGCCGCTTGACTCATCAACAGATTACTATTGCATCGCTGTCAAGTTGACGTTGTAATGAAGTGGGTTGGCTAATGCCGAATGATGAGATGTTACTCTGAGTGTATTTGCTGTATCTCTGGGAGCTAAGGCAGTGTATAGCGCGTACAATGTCGGACAACAGATCAATAGTATGACTGCTTCCACGCTACAGTGGATTCAACTGCAGTGAAAGAATCACAATGCGTGGGCCGTATTCGAGTGGCCCTTGATCGTGGCCCCATAAATTGGGATATGCCTACAAGTACTATCACACAGGATACGGGTGGTAAGGATAATTATGACTGGAAACACGTGAGGGATAGTTAACTGTCTGCTTTCGGGGCCGAATCTGACAATTTTAGAGGGAGAGTTCTGTTTACATGGCGGATGGATGAAGTACTTAGTCTACTGAGAGCTGGCCAGAAGAATCTAGACTGTACAAAACCTGGAAGCTACTCTTAGCCAACACATCCATTCAAGATGCATAGGACCAGTTCTTGGAGGCGTCTGATGAGTGAAATGTTGGGTGTGACTGGTCGATGTGATACGGAATTATTCCGGCATCGGATATCACCTCAACGTAGCCGAGGCAGCGCATGTATAAAGAGCATCAAGTGGACTCTTTTATCAATCATAGCAAACCTACCTATTATCCACAATGCGAGTCTATTCGTCGATCGACTCCAGCAACGCCCTCGCCTTCTACAACGGTCGCGTATATACCATCAACAGCGATCAACCTTGGGCCGAGGCATTTATTGTATCCCCGACGGGGGTCATCGAGCACATTGGCAGGAATGCAGCCATCTTGGAGATCGCCTCGGCTCGCGGCCTCATTCAATATGACCTCCGCCAGCGCTTCGTCATGCCGGGCATCCACGATGCCCATACGCACCTGCTCGTCGCCGGCCTGCAAGGGCTGAACGAAGCCCGCATCGGCTTCGACTCGACGCCCGACAACCTCACATCTCGACTCGCTAAAGGTTCCTGCGCATGCGCCTACGCCAATGTTACCGGGGACTGGCTCATTGGAAACTTCTACCAGGCCAACCATTTCCCGAACGGCGTGCCCGATCGCAAATACCTAGATGATCACTACCCCGATCAGCCCGTGCTCATCCGCGAAGTCTCCTGTCATCGAATCTTGCTAAACACGGCTGGGCTTATCCGTGCTGGAATTGATCCTAATGGCGCCGCGGATCCAGATGGCGGGTACTACGTCCGCCGAAAAGATGGAACAACCCTCACCGGGGAAGTAGTCGAGAACGCCATGACGGCTGTGTTTGACTGTCTGCCTATCCCGCCGTTGGCGCATGTCAAACGCGCGATTCACCATGCGATGTCTATATGCCACAAATATGGAATCACGTCCTGCCAGGAAGCGTCGGCGAATACGCTCTACTTACATGCTGTGCGAGAACTGGAGTTGGAGAACCGGCTGGATCTGGATATCCATACGCACATTGTGTCAGCGCCGGTGTATTTCGCCATGGAGCCGCAGGATAGTCTAGCCGGGTTGCTTGATGTGGCGGAGGGATTCAGAAGCCGACATGTGCATACTCAATTTGTAAAGTTCTGGCTGGATGGGGCTCCACTGCCTCCGGAATTCACGCAGGCGGATCTGGATGCGAATGGACAGCCGATTCCGACGCATTTGGCGCTGGATAAAGACTTCCTGTACAAGGCCGTGAAAAAATATGATGGCCGGGGCATGACGTGTAAACTACATACCGCCGGTGAGGGATCTGCTCGACTGGCCCTAGATGTCATCGCCAAGGTCCGGGAAGGAAATCCGGCTGGTCCCAGACACGAGCTTGCTCATTGTAATGCGGTGCACAAGGGTAAGTCCAGTTCCGTTTGCTGAATCGTCGCGCGTACTGATAAAGTATCAGATGACATCGCGCGGTTTGCTCCGTTGAAAGTGACTGCGGAAATGTCACCCGCCATCTTCCATCACGATGTGGTGGAAGAGTATCCCGAACTCAACAAATGGGCGTTCAACGGGGTGCTCGCGTCGGGCGCACTCATGACCATTGGCTCGGACTGGATGCTCCCCGAGACACCATCATTATTTGATGCTCTGGCTGCGATTGTTGAACGCGTCCGATACAAACCTGGAGGGAGATGCCGGCGTCTCGCGTTGGGGGAGACGGCGATGCAACGCGGAGGAGAGATCCTCTGTCGCGTTCTGACGCTCAGTGGAGCAGAGGCTGTTGGGGCGCAGCATCGCACTGGGAGTTTGGAAGTGGGCAAGATGGCCAATTTTATTGTCGTCGATCGGGATTTGAGCCAGGGGAATTTCAAGGGTGCAAACGTGCTGGAAACGTGGTTTGAGGGAAGGAAAGTGTATCAGGCGTAAGGCTGACGGAAATTGTACGTCCTGCCAAGCAGTAAGTAGGGATGGTTACATTGTTGAATGAAATCATTGTTGAGTACAGGCCGCGTACAAGCCATTCTGCTGTTGCTGCCTGTTCCAAATCCCAACGTTAATCTAGTCTATATAGTCAGGGTCCCCGCACTAACACAATTAACCGAACCGGGCTGAACTTCAACATCTTTCATAATCTTACCTTTAGCCTTCACAGCCATGTCGAATAATACCCATAATGTCCACCTGCTCGAGTTCGTCGCGCAAAAGCGCTTTCACCAGCGGATAGTTCTGCCTGCTACTGCACACCATGGGCGGCTTGCGGTTACCTATGCAGACATTGGACCCCGGACAACGAAGGATGGCTCACCCACCCCGACTATGCTGCTGATTCAGGGAATGGCAGGATCCCGGCTATGGTGCTGCCAGAAAGATCATCTCGCTAACAAACTGGAGGTCCGAATGATCTCCATCGACCGGTATTCTTTGTCACTATTTCCGCCCTTACTGGATGAAAGCTGACATCTTAGACCCGGCCTTGGCGGGTCAACTCCCGTTCTCCCTGGACAACGAGTCCAAGTATGGCTGGAGACAGTGTCAGCGGTGTTGGAACATCTATCCATTAAGCACGTCGTCCCTATATCTCACAGTGCCGGCACTATCTACATCTTGAATTTGTTGATGCATCGACGCGACCTGCTGTGCCCGAAGAGGCCAATGGCAGTACTAATGGGTTAGCTTATCTTTCGCTATCGATTAAACTCACAGCAGGCTAACATTTGCAGCGCCGTGGGTGGAGCCCAAACACTCGGAAATTCTCTCCTTACAAATGGCAAGGATGATCCCTACTGGCGTTCTGAAGCAATGGAACAAGGTGATGAAATTCGTGGTCACCAAAGCGGTCCCTTCGCTCTGCTCGAGTGTGGACGTTCTCGCCTCGATGGGCGGCAGTATCCCCCGTGCGTCCAAAGAAGACATTGAGCACCGTGAACCAAATCTTACTGCAGATGAGATAGACCCACGGACCGCTGAGGAGTTGGAAAATTTATGCATCGAGTACATCTTCCTAGAGGATACCACGGGAATGAACGATGAAACTGTTGTCTGCCTGAAGAAGTCAACCGGGTTATGGGGAGTCTGCGAAGATCTCCCGATCTATATCCGCTGGCTGGTGCGGGCAGAACTGTGGTACCAACAAGGCCACCCGGAGGAGAAGCAGCCTTTGCAGATCAGGGCTATTTTCGCAGAGAAGGATGGGATGATTGGACCCAAGGGACAAAAATACTTCGAGGACTGCTTCGCCAGATCGGATCTCAACGGTGTGGTCTCGTTTGAATCGGTCATGGAGAAAGGGACGGGACATGACACGCTCTGGGGCTTGGACACAGCATTCTTGAAGATGCTGAGAGATATTAAAGACACGATATCTCAGTAGATTTGCCATTCACACTTCTGTGTGCTGGTTGCATTGCATGGCGGCATCCTCGAAACAGCAGGGCTCCCCATCCGAATATCCGAGAATGGCCCATTTGTCAGCAAATCCCCAACCCGAAAATGCTACCATCGGAGGGTCAATTATTAATTCAATTCAACCTCACGGACGCGCTGGGTATAAAACCCACCCGGCCACTGTTCATCATGTCTTCTTGGCTACAGCAATTGCCTCTCGCTCCCTTCCTCCCGACCTCTCCATCGTCATGGGTTCCGTCCAGCAAGCCCCCCGTGTGATTCCCTCCACGGAGACTCCCTACTTCACCCCCGCCAACAATGGCGGAGAAGCCCTCAACCCCGCCGACCCCAACACTCCCACGCTCTTCCGCCCCTTGAAGATTCGCGATGTGACCCTCAAGAACCGCGTCGTCGTCTCGCCTATGTGCATGTACTCCGCCGAAAGCGATACCTCCTCTCCCTTCGTTGGCGCCCTCACAGATTACCACATTGCCCACCTGGGCCAATTCGCTCTGAAAGGCGCCGGTCTCGTCTTCGTCGAAGCCCAGGCTGTCCAGCCCAACGGGCGCATTTCCCCCAACGACGCGGGGCTGTGGGAACATTCCCCCGAATCGGAACAATTCAAGAGCTTGCAGCGCGTGGTGCGGTTCTGTCACAGCCAGGGTGCCAAGGTAGCCGTCCAGCTCGCCCACGCGGGTCGCAAGGCGAGTGTGCTCCCTCCGTGGGTGGCCGTGCAGGCCAAGAAGCCCTGCGTCAAGGCGGACGAGAGCACAGGTGGATTCCCGTCCGAGGTGGTCGGGCCCAGCGGTGGTGCGGACCAGGCCTGGGATGGAACTGGCGAGGGATACTGGGCGCCTCGGGCCTTGACGGTCGAGGAGATCAAGGAGATAGTGCAGGCCTTCGCCAAGAGTGCGGAGACGGCTATCCGGGCTGGTGTTGACGTGATTGAGGTTCACGCTGCTCACGGATACCTGATCAACCAGTTCTTGAGCCCGGTGACCAACAAGCGAACGGACGAGTATGGAGGCAGCTTCGAGAACCGCACACGCATTCTCCGGGAAACCATGACGGCCATTCGGGCGGTCGTCCCCAGCGGTACCCCGTTGTTCCTGCGGATCAGTGCGACGGAATGGCTGGACGGACAGGCTGTTGCGGCGGAATCAGGCAGCTGGAACATGGAGAGTTCGCTCAAGCTTCTGCCTCTGCTTCCAGAGCTCGGAGTCGACCTCTTGGATGTCAGCTCCGGGGGTAACCACCATAGCCAGAAGATCAACATCCACACCAACTACCACATCGATCTGGCCGCACAGGTGCGCAAAGCCATCCATGCGACCGGCGCGAAGGCACTGGTGGGCGCGGTCGGATTTATCACCGAGGCCGACCAGGCCCGGGGACTCGTGGAAGGCGCTGACGAGGCGCACGCCGCCAATGCGACAGTATCTGGACCGGAGCCCGTGGCGGATCTGGTGTTGATGGCGCGGCAGTTCATGCGTGAACCAGAGTGGGTGATGAACGCGGCAAAGAAGCTGGGGGCGAAGGTGGAGGTGCCGGTGCAGTTCTGGCGGGCTGGACTGGTTTAAACCATTAAGCGATCTAGATATAAGATTATAGACCCATCTAATCCACTATTGCATTAAGAGCGATGAATTGATATAAGAAATTTACTAGCGATAATCTCAATTGCCGAGCCGACCCGAGCAAAACGGCGGCATACGGAGACCTCCGAGCAGTGCAGGATCAGAGCTACTTACTTCTTCGGGGGTGGCATCGCGCAATCAGAACCTTGGGGGCGCCACCGACTAATGGATAGCTAGTACTTAGTGAGTACTTAGTTGCAGCTGTAGCTACTTATTAATATGGATGATTACTTCCTCCCACCCTTCATTCAACTACCCCGCAGTTCCATCTCTACAACACCAACAACTTCCCATCCCTTGATTCCTCATCCTCTGCATTCCTTCTCCCACCCACACTAGCAATAACCATGGCTCTCAAACCCGGCGATTCCTTCCCTTCCGATGTTGTCTTCCAGTGGGTGGTCCATTACACGAGTTACCTTATTGCATCTAACAAACATCCAGGTACATCCCCTGGAGCGAAGAAAAGGGCGACATCACCGCATGTGGCATCCCCATCAACTACAACGCTTCGAAAGAATGGGCCGATAAGAAGGTCGTCCTGTTCTCTGTTCCCGGTTTGTACCCCCCTAATTTACTTGTGTTCAAATAAACATCCGACCAACAAAACATTATAATAGGTGCCTTCACCCCCACCTGCTCCATCAACCATGTCCCCGGCTACATCCAGAACCTTCCTCAGCTGAAGGAGAAGGGCGTGCAGGTTGTCGCAGTCATCGCCTCCAACGATCCTTTTGTCATGAGCGCCTGGGGAAAGGCGAACAATGTTAAGAATGATGATATTGTGAGTCCCTCCCTTCGGAAATATTTTCCTTGCTCCATTGCTCACGATGCTTCGATGGTAGCTTTTCCTGACTGATCCCGATGCCCGCTTCGCCAACACCCTTGGCTGGGCCAACGCTGGTCGTACCGGGCGCTTCGCCATTGTCATTGACCATGGCAAGGTGACCTATGCGCAGATTGAGACGGAGAAGGGTGCTGTTAAGGTATGTTCCACATTTATGTAACCGCCTTTGTTGGGAATTGTGGTGTGTATACTGACGAATGTAGGTCTCGGGCGCTGATGCTATCCTGGCAAATCTGTGAACGTTGAGCGTTCACTAGATGGGATGCAGTAGAAACAGTCTCACTTGCGTGGTGGAATTAGATAGTACAGCATGTGGATAGTAATGAAGTGAACTGCCCGAGGTGGAATCAAGTATAGACTAGTAGGTGGTATATATATATCCACAAAAACTGATTAGAGAGTGCTATCACGTCACACTTGCACTTGAGTGACTTTTAAACCTCCATGACGATACACATCAGTAGAATAGTACTAGTACTATTCTCCTGCTACAACACAGTAACTTAAGGGTCACTCCGTATCGAGGCTCTGATCAGCGAGCCAGTCCCACAGCTCATCACACTATAGCGGTCAACCGGACAAATGGAAAGACAGACAACCAGGTCCTCGCACTAAAATGCTGACAGGATTATCAATCGCAATCGGACATAAGCATATTGTCTCCGCAGCCACTAACAGCCCTGAAAGGCTTGAACAGAACCCATTTTGAAGCAATAGAAACCCCCGGACCGGGATCGAAGCCAGCTGAATAATGAACCCTTCAGGGATCGATGCCTGACACTAGTCCCGTCTGGGGAAAGTCTCCTGTGGCCCCACGACATTGAGTGACTAATCAGCAATCACCCCACCAGAGCTATGCCTGTTTGATGTCATCATGTTCAATTCCCCCCAAGCCAGAACCCCGCCAGGCATTTAAATTTAAATACATAGTGGTTTCCTTCTCCCCAAGTTACAGAATAGCTAGGAAACCTCATCATCTCAATTGGCATTCAATCAAGTCAACCAAATATTAACAATTCATCCAAAATGGCCCCCAAAGTCCTCGTCGTCCTCACCTCCCACGACCACCACAATGCCAACAATAACCCCACCGGTTGGTTCTTGGTGAGCTTCCTCCCCAATCCCCTAATCTATCTTCCAAACCTCCTCCCTAACAAAATAATAATATAGCCCGAATTCGCCCACCCCTGGGACGTCCTGCACTCCAAAGCCGAGCTGGTAATCGCCTCCCCAGCCGGCGGCAAAGCCCCGCTGGACCCGGGCTCCATCGAAATGTTCAAGGAGGACCCCGTGTCCCAGAAATTCCTCAAGGAGCAGGAGTCCCTCTGGACCAACACCGTCAAGCTGTCGGATGTTGTGTCGCGGGTTTCTGAGTTCGATGCCATCTTCTACGTTGGTGGTCATGGACGTATGTATCCCATATTTTACCCGTCTATACCCAACATAACGCTAATGAATATCTCTGGGTTATAGCTATGTACGACCTCTACAGTGACAAGACCTCCCTGGCCCTGATCCAAGCCTTCGCCGTGGCCAAGAAGCCCGTCGCGGCGGTTTGTCATGGTCCTGCGGTGCTGGTGAATGCTACTACACCCTCCGGAACGGCCTTGTTGAAGGGTGCGGAGGTGACTGGGTTCTCGAACACCGAAGAAGACCAGGTGCAGTTGAGCTCGATTATGCCGTTTATGTTGGAGGATGAGTTGAAGAGGGTGGGCGCTACGTACGTCAAGGCTGAGCAGCCGTGGGGGGAGAAGGTGGTGGTGTCGCAGGTTGCTGAGTTGGGAGGAGCCGTGATTACGGGTCAGAACCCGGCGAGTGCAACTGGGGTTGGAAAGGCTATTTTGACGGCTTTGGGGTTGTAAGTTGATTTTGTGTGGTGATGGACTCGTTACGAGATAATGTCATTTCGATACGATGAGAATGATATATGCTACGTTGTTTTATCTACAAAAAATCGTGTTTATGAATACTTATTGTGTCTGACAAATCTGATCTCATCTAAAGTTGCATCAACGGATTGCACTCCGGAACGCCCAGACCACATTGCATAGGTCATGGAAATACCCAAACCCGGAAATCAAGCACGACACTAGCACTTTTCAACCTTGTTTGACAAATTGCTCCTGAACCTCCAAACTATGCTTCGCAAATCGGCTCTTCGCACGGATCCGCTCTCCATAGAACAGAAACAACAACGGCACACTGCAGAACACCGTGGCCAACGCTGCCAACAACGAAGCCGCAACATTCGCCCCCAGCCCATCAAACATCTGTCGCGTAAACAATGGGAAGGCCCCCGACATCCCGGCCCGGACCAGCTGCACCGCCGCCGTGCCACTAGCCGAATAGCTCAGATAGCTATCTGCTAGATATCCATATAACACAGTATCGAATTCGTTCAATGCGTATCCAATTAACACGAGAGATACCGTAGGTACCATCCAATGGATATCCTCTGCCTTCGGGGGAATGGTCCAGGCGAACCACCACAGCCCAATCGCAAAAGCAGGGGCCCCGATGGCCAGTCCGGTGAGTTTATCTTCTGGTTTGACGGGTTGAGAGGCTGCGTGTTTGGCGTCGATGATTCGAAAGTCGATAATGCGAGTGAAAGTGCTGAAACAAACACCAACACCTACGGCGAGGAAAGGCAAAGCGGCAGCTGATGGTGTGAAGTTCATGGACTCATAGATGGGCTGGAGAGCCTCGGTGAAGATATAGACCAAGGCGAAGGAGAAGGCGATCATCATGGCCATGGTAAATATGAGAAGCTCACCGAAGAAGAGCTGCAGCGGTCGGAACAGCGAGGCTTTGATGAAGGTGCGGAGGTCAGGGGAGTGGTCGTGGGTCAGAGGCTGTAGGCTGTCGTGGCCCGTTTCGTGGCGGATGCGTGAGACCTCTTGGGCCAGGAGCAGGGCAGGACGTGATTCCCGGATGAGGAGAAAGAACGCGCTCATGACAGCGAGGATGATCGTGTATATGTAAAATACCCAGCGCCTACAAAATTAGAACTAGCTTTGGATAGCCATATCAGGAGACATACCAATGTAGATTTTCAACAACAAGGATGCTGATAATTGGGCCAATTAGGAGACCGACGTTCGAGGCAATGGTCCAGAGAAAGGTGGTCCAGATCCGAGATCGCGAGTTGAACATGTCCTCATTGCTGCCGCTGCCAACAGTGTATGGGATAGCACTCAAGAACCCTCCGACGATGCGACAAATAACCACGGCGACCAAAGAATGAACGAGTCCGATGATCAGGCAACATAACGCACTACCGGTGCTGCTGATAAAATATAGTTTTTTGCGTCCAAAGCACTCGGACCACGGAGGGAAGACAATCGCACCAACAACCTGCCCCATGAGGAATCTGTATGGTCAGTCGGGTACGGTAAGAGGTCCGGAAGAACGTACAATGTCACGAAGCAGAATGTGCACAGGGTATTTCCAATATGGTATTCATTTTGGGCCTCTGAAGCCGCCGATGTCTATGTCCATTAGAAATGCCACACTGTCGGATGAGAAACATACACCAGCAGTACTCGTAGCGGTTCTGCGGTTGTTAGCAGTGTACCAACATCGAGATGTAAATACATACACAAAGAGATCCAGTAGAAAGATCAACCCAATATCATACACCTTGCGTGTTGCACTCCAGTTGCGGGGATGCTTCTTGTTGCCTTTTGCCCACCGGACATATTGTCCATCTGGCGTGAACTCCAGGTCATTCTTCAGCAGATATTCGTCCATGTCCTGAGTCTGACCGACGTGCTTTGCTTTCGACGGGCCTCCTGTGATATCTTCTTCGTCTGCCGATTTATAGTCACAGGGGACTATATGTAGTTCGTTCATGATTGGGGCCATGTCTACAGGACATATCTAAAAGTAGATCGACTGTGGTTTCAGTCGATCATCCCTGTAAGGTGAATCTCCCCTGGTCCGCGACATGTAGTACTTAGATAGTGCATAGCACGCGTCAGGCACTGAATCTGGTAGAGGATCATCGTGCATTGAGTTACTTTGCGTGTCCGCAGAGAGCTTATGTGGATAAACTCGTGTCCATCCTACCAATCAAGGGGTGCGCCATGATCTGGAGATATGCGCAGGTGATGGCCCAGCACGCAAAAAGATGCTGAAATGGAGGTTTGGAGCACTGCTGGGGGCACGCGGGGTTTATGGAAATGTATCTTCCGAAAAGCACGAGTACTCATTGGACGGCGCCGTGGTCAGGCAAGGAAATCTCTATAAGACCAGGAAAGTCGAAGGAAGCCAGTCCAAGGTAACGGGTGTATAGCGAGGAATGTTTGCGCAGCATTCCAATTAGCTGATAGGGATCGATCCATATTCTACGTGGCCAGTGCAGTGGAACGGATGCAAGGGACAAGCAGATGACGAGTGATCTACAGAAGGCATTCCGTACCAGTGTATTGCGGAAATTCTGGAGACAGCAACGGTACTTTATGCGCTTAAGACGATCCCCCGGAGCTTTTTTGTACTTCATCGGCTGCCTGATATACCCGGTGCGTCTGCCTGTTTCAAAGTGCGGCAAGATCAAATTAGCATCAGCTGGTGGTGTCGTCAGCTTAGTGGCTGGCGACAGCTGGGATGGTAAATCTGCAGATCGAGAGGCGGAAAGTTCAATATAATCTTCAAGGTGGTTTCAGTTCCCCTGCTGCTCGTCGGAGAGATGGATGCGTCACAGATGTCCCTCGCAGGCAACTAATGTGCGAGTAGACGCATAATCTTGATGCCCCAGGTCTTGAAGTTGGGGTATGGTAAGGTCATGGTGAGCAAGTGATCCATTGCCAGCAGTAAGAGCTAGGGGTATAAGTGCAATAACCTGTTCAAAATACTTGTGCAGCTCAATCTGTAAATTCCAAATGCAGGAGAGCACACCTCTACAGAATCGTCGTCTCCTAGGGAGCGTGGGAGGTTGTATTGCAGGCCATAAGTGGGTATATACGTTGGACGACCGTCATCGATGGGGAAACAGCATTGGCTCAACCAGAGCAGTGGATGTACGGAGTAGCAACCACGCGAGCGATACCGTGTCCAAGGAAGTCCCATTAACAAAAAATGACCCTGTGGAATGTTGATGACATCCCAACGGGGCAACTGGCCGGGGCTGGTTCAACACCCCACATCAGGCAAGCCTGAGGGCGATCTCCCCCTGAGTTCACCGCCTGCCCTACCCCCCGCCGGTTCTGCCGGACCCCGCAGAAGCAGCAGCTGCAGGACATGCCCTCAACTCAACAGTCAACACCCTTCTTATTAGCCGTTCTCCATTATCAGTTACCACTTCTCTCACCGACAGCATGCCCCCTCACGAAGGACTGGTCCACCCCAAAGAATACGACATCAAGGACAGCAATGTGGAACTAATCGGTTCCGACCTTGACCACCGTGTCAAGTACAACTCCGCCGCTACCGAGCCCGCTTGGAACAACGGATCTATCGGCCAGGAGCCGGGTCTGTTCGTGTGGAGGATCGAGAACTTCGAGGTTATACCATGGCCCAAGGAGCGTACGGGAGAGTTCTATAACGGAGACAGCTACATCGTGCTGCACTCGTACAAGGTTGGGGACAAGCTGGGTCATGACATCTTCTTCTGGCTGGGCAGTAAGACCACCCAGGATGAAGCCGGTACAGCCGCTTACAAGACGGTCGAGCTGGATGAATTCCTGCATGGCACCGCGACGCAGCATCGCGAGATTGAACAGGAGCCATCCGAGGAATTCTTGGGACTGTTCCGGCACATCTCCATACGGTCGGGCGGCGTGCGGTCTGGATTCCACCACGTCGAGCCTGAAGCACCCAAGGAGATTCTCACCTTGCTTCGCGTATTCAAGCATCCTTCTGTAGGTCGCTCGATTATCGTGCACGAGGTGGAGCCCACCTGGGAAAGCCTCGACGAGAATGATGTGTTCGTGCTGGACAAGGGTGATAAGATCTGGGTCTGGCAGGGCAAGAACTGCAGCCCCATGGAGAAGGCCAAAGCTGCGCAGGTGGTCAATGACATGACTCTTGCTAAGCACATTGATGTCGAGGTTCTGTCGCAGCTCGAGTCGCGCTCCAGGGTCATTGTGGACTTGCTGGGAGGCAAGGAGGCCGACCCATCCACATTCCAGGCTCCGCGACCGGGGCGTTTCGCCAAACGCACGGACGACGGCGGCGATGTGCGGTCACGCAAGCTCTTTAGACTGAGCGACTCGTCCGGCACACTCACTTTCGACCTAGTCAAAGATGGCCAGCGTGTGAGCAAGTCCGACTTGGTTGGAAACGACATCTTTCTCTACGATGTTGGCAGTCGGCTGTGGGTCTGGCAAGGCTCCGAGGCCAGCCAGCGTGAGAAAGCGCTGTGGCTCAAGGTTGCCCAACACTACGTCCGTCAGCTGCAGAACCAGCTCCCAGAGGCACACTACATCCCGATCGCCAAGGTCGTGGAGGGCTACGAGAGCCCAGCATTCATGAGAGCCATCGAGGCCTAGGTATGTGCTTAGGCCAAATTTGTGTAATTTATATGTGTGTGCAACAAGCATCGATGACCCCAGACACAGTTACTGGAGCGGCAGGTTCCATACAGTCACAGTCCATTGTCTAGGGTAGTATATACCATCAAAGGTCCAGTACCTTGGATCCATCGAAAATGATTCATTGAACATCAGTCAGAGAAATGTAAAGACCATGTTATGTGTATCGTGTTCTAATCGAAGCGGACTGTCGGTTGACTCGAGGATGACTAGATGGCAGTGAATTGAACCCTCCATCGTTATCTTTCGCACGAAGCATGTCTAAACAGCTTCGACACGTCCATAACGTTCAAAACCCAAACAGCTAACTCCAAACTCCAATGTGCGCCCGCCAGAGAGCCCCGTTCATATATCCTCGTATCTCTCAACACCATTCCAGCCCTACGTTCAGATATTAGCACATACAAGCCAGCGGATCACCAGCCGACATACCTTATCTTCAAAATCTACCATCTCCCTCTTCTTCCCCCACCAAATCCCCCTCTCCCACCAGGCGGTCCAAAGCCACCCCCTCTTCGACCACCAAAGCCACCGCCAGGAGGACCGTGGGGTCGTCCGTAGGAATGCATCGGCATGCCCCCGCCACCACCGTAGTGCGGGCGCGGGGGAGGGTAGCCGTAGCCACCGCCCATGCCCATACTGGGGTATCTCCGCCGGTTGCGGCCCATGAGGGACATGCAGAGGCCCATTGTAGTATTATTGTAGATTTATTCGTACGATGCAAGGATTGTAATAATATCAAGAATATGGTTCAAAGTGATTGAAAAGGTATTGTATCTGTCACACTATGTCTGGTGAAGTGAAGAGGCCCAGGTGTCGAAGTGAGTAGGGCAAGGGATAAATACAGGCGTCGTCAGTCATGGCGTCATCCAAGAGCCGTGACGTAGTACTGCCCCTTCTCCCACTACAACCTTAACTTTGCAACCGCAAGGAACTGAGATAAATTTGTCTTTTATCTTCTGCGAGTAGATCTCTTGGCTGTCGTAATTTATCCGGTTCGCCATTGAGATGGGGGGAATTGAACAATCTGGCGGATATGAGAGGAGCGGCCAAGGAATCTTGTATGTTCTGATGAAATATAGACATGGGCCTGGTGGGAGTCTCTCTGAGCCAGTGGTAGATATCCTGCTGTCAAATCAGGTACCCAATCTGTCGACAATCTATCCTATAAGAGTCTCCAATCCATTATCGATCATCACGTCAATCCAATGCACATGCAATGAACTACTCAACAACAACCGGTCCGCCCGAGCCCAGGTATCTCTTACAATCCTACATGCCCGCCGCACTGTATCTAACCCCATATAAGTGGCCAACTTGTCGAGTCTAGAATCGACAAATAACCGCCAGAACTGTATATCAAATTGTCCACCTGTACGAGATGATCCCGGAGCACCTTCAGTGGATACTTCCATATCGATATCCATGTCTTCAATCCGCTGAAACTGAAGCGTACTTCCCGCTATCACAAGAACCGGCATATGAATCGCCTTTGTGCCAGATGTTTCAGGTATCTTAGCAATAAGCGTGAGAATCGTGATGGCCAGCGTATTCAGATGTTGTTTCAGAGTGTCGTGATTTAACTCCCGTTGGTCCCGGCGCAGCAACTCGGGAAATGTTCGACACAGCTCGAGCATAATCGATAGTTCATAGGCTCTAGCTAGGAATCGGAAATGGAGGATTGGAGTAGATGGATCACCTGTACTTTGGAACTGATCCTGACGGGGAAATTTGTATTGGCATATCAACTCTTCTAGATGCTTGCCTTGCGATAGAAGTTCGTGTCGGTCTTTTTGTGTCCGTTGCGGGGAAGCTATTGCCCGCCGTAGATGGTGCGCCTGTCGGGCGAGAGAGCCGACCCTTGACAGATAGATGAAGAGTTTGGGAGACATACCGCTCCAGGGATGCATGATTGATATGTTGCTTTCGTCGTCGCCGAAGGGTATGAGGTAGTCTGTCGTGTCTGTGCTGTTGTCTATGACAAAAGACATCAAGGCTTCCCAGTAAGCTAAAGCTCCGACGAAGAATTGTCGAGGACGCGGGTCATCTGGTCCCAGCAAACAGGAGTCTGGCAAAGGCTCAGAGTGGCGTTCGCAATATAACGACTTGAAAATAGCCCTTGCCGCTTCGAGGTGCTGCGTTCCAAGTGACGATGGATCATTCCATGACTGGGTAGGGGTTAGAATTAGTGAAGGTTATATCAGCAGCAGAGATATACACACAGATGTTTTTCCGATCATAGTCATCCCAAGAAGTAAGACAGTCGTAGATCCGGTGTTCTTTCGGGAGAGTGAAGCCTTATCGGGTGAGTCTGACGGTGACTGTTTGTCCAGAGCGTCGAATTCAGAAGCAAGTTTTAAAAGTGCTGCTGTGTGGTGGCTTGCAGCCAGTTTACTCATCTCACGCTGTTGCTGCGAGAGATGTGCAGCCGATATGGATAGAACGCAGGTATCGATCACGGGGTGCTCACTGGACAGCCGTGCGACCCATTCTCGCAGTGGATTCGTTGGAGAATCATAAGCGGAAAGGATACGGCATGTGTCGGAAAAATAGTATGCTCGCAACTTCGTAGACAAATCAGTTAGCCGTGATACTATGCCAGCGTCATGTTGTTTCCCCGGGCTGCTTTCGGCGTCGGAGGTCTGCAATGTAAGTGCTGGACCGCTGCCTGTGGTCGAATGATCGGGCGCTTCTGTTCTTTCAACAAATGGATTTGATGTCTCGCATTGCTCAATGGTCTCAGTAGAGGACTGGCTACGCTCAAGAGGAGGTTGCAGATCGCTCAGCAAAGCAAGACGTAGCTTCTCCGCTGGTTCAGTGAACCAACCCATAAGAGGTCCATTTTGTGATGAGGACTCCGATTGTTCCGGATCATGTGAAGCCAGACCCTTCGCTTCATGCTTAACCGACCATTTGACATCCTTGCGATACCCCGGGCAGTCGTATCCTCTCCGAGAACAAGCCACGCAAGAAGGCCTAGTTTCGTCACATTTGATTCGCTGTGGTATTTAGTGTTCTGACGTTGACATGAGAACCGCCGACTAGCTTACACGCTGCTTACACCGTGCGCACCCCGCTTTAATCTATGTTAGTGGCTTATATACTTATTTAGGGTGTTATCAGGACTAGATTACCTCGAGATTTGACTGTTCTTCTTGATTGAGCCAGTTCTTGGCGTTTCATATTGCCCCATTACAGACATGAGGGCCTCACGCAACCAGAAGGATGAAGAGGCGCGTCAATGTCCGTTACAGGATGCTTGCAGCTGGCCACTCATGAGCTCAGGTGCTTAATAATTGCAATGGTACTGACAAAATGCTAAGGATAAGGTTCAGTGGCAATGGACCTGCACAATGCTTAATGCGGTACGTTGTGTTTCTAGCTTAGGTAAACGCTTATGAATAGACTTTGTCTTTGTGCATGTGCCTTATTTGCTTATTGGCAGTTATAATCCACTACGGCAGTTAAGTTGTGTCATTCTGCCCCCTTCTCGACCAATCGCACTTTCACGCCTGAAGTGGTTTAGCGTTCGAGGATCCGGAACAGAAGGCACTCGACCCTCGGAACTATACATGTCATTTCACTGCCGATTTGTAAACCGGGATCAATTCCGGGATGATGGAGATGGCGTGATATCCAGGTACCTATGGCTAAGCACATTTAGGAAACACTTTCCAGAAAGCATCACTTACGTGATTACCAATCCTAATGAGCAAGATGATGTATATAAGTGCTGGATGAAGACCGTCACATTCTTATTATATCTGCAGAACAGTACAGGAATTGGAAAACTTCCAGCAAGATACTTCGATACTCCCAACCATATAAAGCACTACAAAGCCTCATAATCATCCCAGCAAGATGGCTTCCTCACTAAAGAATGTGGTAATTGTCGGAGTAAGTGAATTCAGAAAGTCCTTACTGCCCTTCAATATTAACATCAGCTCTCCCAGGCCGGAGGAAACCTAGGCTCTCATGTCCTAAAAGCCTTCCTCTCATCCAAAGCCTTCAACATCACCGCACTCACCAGAGAGTCATCTACCAGCACCTTCCCCGACGGCCTCCAAGTCATCAAGTCAGACTACAGCCACGACTCGCTCCTCTCCGCGTTCAAGGGCCAAGATGCCGTGATCAGCATCGTAGGCAATGCAGGTCTTTCCTTCCAACAGAAACTCATCGACGCTGCCGTCGATGCAGGAGTGAAACGGTTTATCCCCAGTGAATACGGCAACAACACCGCCGACGACCGCGTCCGGGCTCTCGCACCGCTTCTCGACGGCAAGAAAGCCAACGTCGATTATCTCAAGGAGAGACAGGATCGGCTAACTTGGACTGCGCTCATCACTGGTCCCTTTTTCGATGCGGTAAGTAGATGTACAGCACACAGTTATAGTGCATATCCTTTCCTATGTTGCATTGAAGAAGAAAAGCTAAGATAATTCCACAACAGGGTGTCAAAAACGGCTTCCTAGGCTTCAACCTCCAATCCCACGAAGCAACCATCTACGACGAGGGCACCAACACAGCATCAGTGAGCACCCTCGCTCAAATCGGCCGTGCTCTCGTTGCCGTTTTGCGGAACCCGGAGGTGACCCAGAACCAATACGTCTACGTCGAGTCTTTCACCACCACTCAGAAGCAGATTCTCGGTGCTCTGGAGAAAGCCACCGGCAAGGACTGGAAGGTCACTGATGTTGCCTTGAAGCCGGTTATCGAAGAAAGTACCGAGCGGCTCAAGGGTGGGGACTTGACTGCCGTGAGAGTTTTACTCTTGGCGGCTGGGTGGGCGAGGTTCCCGGATGGCCCGTATGGAGATTGGTCACGGGTGCCCGGGGGATCGTGGAATGAGAGGTTGGGGCTTGAGAAGGAGAATTTCGATGAGGTTGTGGCGTCGCTTGTCAATTAGGATGTCATGGATGATATTCCGTGTTGTACCGTAGCAGCACCAAGTACTTGGAACGAGCAATAAATCTTTGATTAAATAAATAGAGATATTAAGTATGGTATCTGAACTCCACCTCGCCATCGCCGGTCTTCACTCTTCGCGTGTCTTCTTTCTCACCTGCCAGTATCTCCTCTTTCATCTTATTCTCGCGTCTCAGGTACATTGCATGAAGCGCGACAATTATTTGTGATACCACCAATGCTCCAAGGGAGAATGCATTCCCCAGTACATACGGCGACGTGCGGTATACCTGCCCCGCTACGATACCAGCACAGTTACCCACTGTCTGCTGCAGACCAATGGCAAGTGCACGCCGGTACTGCGGCGCCACGTTAACGTTCAACCAGGCCACGTTCAGACCGACACCAGTGTAGACAGCCACACCGCAGAGGTAGGTTGCAAAGTATTTTACGGGGTCGCTGGAGACGGTCAGGAGGAGAATGTAGCCGACTATGCCGAAGATGTTTGTGACTAGGATGAACTATCCATCATGTTAGCACCACCTCATCCCTAGTAAAAGGACCGCTAGGGGGGAAAAGACATACGATAGAAAACCTCCCAAATCGATCTGCACAAAACGCGACAGCAATAAACACAATGGCAGCCCAAATATACACCGGCACCGTGAGAACATTACTCATAAGACTGTTATACCCCAGACTCCCCAAGATGGTGGGGAGGAAGGTACTAAACCCATAGAGAAGAATATCCTGACAGAACTGCGTGAGAGCCGAGAACATGAGCTTGGGATCACGCAGAGCAATGCGCATCTCCTCCCAGCTGAAGTGCTCACTGCCCATGTACTTGCGGCGTTGTTCGTTGCGCACGCGCATCATGTATTTCTCTTCGTCGGTGAGGAAGTAGGCGTTGCTGGGGTCGTTGGGGAGACCGAACCAGATTAGGACGGCGCAGATTAGACTGAAGATTCCTTCGATGATGTAGACCCATCTGATTCTCTCATTAGCATTGGGAATGGGATGGCTGAGAATGATGAGGAAGGGGGGATAGGTTTACCTCCAGCCAGCTTTGCCGCCTATACCGTCCATGTGCAGCAATGCATAGGCGAGGAGACCGCCCACGGCACCGGAGATGGCGGCGCAGCTCATTAGGTATGAGACGCGCTTTGCCTGTTCTTCTCGACGGTATACCATGGTCAAGTACAGGTTCAGACAGGGGAAGAGACCGGCTTCGCAGCCTCCGAGGATCAAACGTGTTGCGTAGAGCGAGGCAACATTGTGAATGAACCCCGTGAACACGGTAGTGATGGACCAGATGATGCATAGACCGGTCAGGATATTCCGTGGCGTGAGCTTCTTCATTGCTACCGCCCATGGGGCTTCCAAGAGCACGTAGGTGGCATAGAAGATAGACACGGCGGTGGAGTACTCGCTGTCAGAGGCGTGGATGTCTTCAGGCATGCCAGCTACCTTTACATTACCTGGATGATCATTAGCCAGCTGCACCAACGTGGAGAATATGCATTGGGGGTTATTCACCGATATTGCTGCGGTCAAGGAAACACGACAGGTAGGTCAACATGATGATGGGCACAAAGGCCATGTCGAGCTTCAAGAGAAGCTTCTTCTCCTTCGCTGGGTCGAGCACGACATCGTCAATGTCGCCAATGGCGGTCTCTTCAGGAGACGCCTGCTCGAATGGTTTCTCGAGCGACTTGCGCTCAACAACGGGATCCATCTGATCAGTAGTCATGATGGATGAAGTGAGTTGTGAAACCCAGAAGAAAGTGGGGGAAGAGGGAAGATGATGAAAGCGTCAATAGCGGAAGATCTGGGGTTAAGAACCATGGACCAGGCCCTTCAGGGTAGCACCTGAAGGCGGCAACGGATCGATAACACGGCCATTAAACCGGGAAGCTATCTATCGTGAGGGGCGAGTAGCATTACGCTCCACAGGGTCACCCATCGGGCCGATGGACTGATAAGCAAAGTTAAGATTGCCCGGGAGGATATCATCTGGCAGCTGCTCATTGGTGAAATCGCGGACTAAAGCGACCAACGCTTATCACGCTGGTGGAGCACCAACACGTTTATCCCCGGATATCGGAGCCCACCTGCCGATAGAGACACGAGGAGTATGGGGTAGATACAAAACAATTGATAGGCTATCAGGTCTATCGGTCGAGAGGTTATTGATTATATATGCTAACTCAATGTCAAAGTTACTGCATGGTAGGTACATATGACAAGAATTCATACAGCAACCCAAATGACCATCACCACCCAGACACCGGAAACCCTAAGCAGCCAGAAAACCCGATTTCTGGCTCGCCAAAACACCATCACCAACACAGCCGGCTACTCCGGGACAAACCTGCAAGCCAATCTCCTCATTCTGCCCGAGAAATACAGCCAGGACTTCCATAACCTCTGCCTCCGCAACCCCGTAGCCTGCCCACTGTTAGGAATTAGCAGCATCCCGGGAAACCCCCACAAAATCTCCCCAACGCCATGCATCCGTAACAGCGACTTTGACATCCGCACCGACTGTCCTGCATACCGAGTATACAAGCACGGGAAATGCATCGCGGCCAACAAACGCGACCTTCTGGACCTATGGTCCACGAATGATGCGGAAGACCAACAAAGTTCAGAAAACTACACAGCCTTCCTCCTAGGCTGCTCCTACAGCTTCGAAGCCGCTCTCTGCAATGCCACCCCGCCTCTAACCCCACGACACCAAGTAACCAACACCCTCGTGCCAATGTACCGCACGTCGCTACCTCTCTCGCCTGCAGGGATCTTCACCAACGCAACATGCACCGTGTCGATGCGCCCATACCACGAATCAGAGGTCGAGCGGGTGCGGGACATCACGCGCCCGTATCTGGCCACGCACGGGGAGCCGATTGCTTGGGGCTGGGATGCGGTGAAGCGCTTGGGCATTCGGGATATTCACGATCCGGATTTTGGGGATAAGGTTGAGTTTGGGGAGGGGGAGGTGCCTGTCTTTTGGGTATGCAAGATATACTTTCTTATTCTTCGTTTTGTTTACCCCCTTGCGTTTTGATGAAGTGTATGTGGAGTATGCTAATGCGGGATCATGGTTAGGCGTGTGGAGTGACGCCACAGATGGCGGTCGAGGCGGCCGGGGAGAAGATTGATGGGTTGGTGTTTGCGCATGAGCCGGGGCATATGCTGGTTACGGATTGGGTGGTGGAGGATCTGGAGAGGTTGAAGGGGGGTATCGCGGCTTTCCGAGCAAAGATTTGATGGTACTCTACATACACGATAGAAAGAGCTGTTATGAAGCGGGCAGCGTCTTGGATACTAGAACAATGCTACATATTGGAAGATGGATTTAAAAACAATCCTTCATCACACTCGACAACTCCTCCCCATAGTCATATCGCTGCCATCCGGCATCAAATCCCTCGGGCGCCATGCCCATAATCTGCGTCTCCAGATTCCCCACCGCTTCGAACCACTCCATTAGCTCGCGTGTCATCTGCGCCCCGTCCAGCGGTGACTGCTCCTGCGTGCCTGTTGACTGGCTCGGTGCGACCTCCACCATGTTGCCAAGGTCCCCTCTCTCCGCTGGCACTGCAGCGCCTCCTCTCCACTCGGGCTCCTGTTGACTCTGCACCGGCCGATGCATTAACTGCGGACCTAGCTTCCTCAAGCTGCGAATGGACTTCCACAGCCGCTGCGAAATATACGACCTCGTCGAAAAGCCCTTGATCAGCTCCAGGGCCATGTAAAACTCCTCCTTACAAGTGGTGCTAAAGTGGGTAGGAGCCTGCGTGACAGCCAGAAAGACCACCGCGACAGCAGAGACCAGAAACCAATTAAAGGTCACCTGCTGCAAGCGATAGATATCCGTCGTCTCGTTCAGATTCGTGATGAATCGGATCGACTCCTTCGCTAACTCTACCACGGTCTGCGACTCTGCAGGGTACTTGGCGATATGTGCCGCCGAGTGCAGCACAGGACGATGGATCAGCATGCGCAATTGATTCGCCCTCAAATACAGCAGAGACCGCAAGCGACGCAAGCTCCGTGGCTCCTCCTCCTGGACGTTACCCGAGTCAATGCTCAACACGGGCGGAACGTCTGCCTTCCACCGCTGGACTTGCCAATCGAGGTAATTCATCTCTTCTTTCTTGATCTCATTGGTGTTGTTGAATGCTGAAATAAACTTCCACACTTTCGCTGCAATCCGACTATACCGAATCATGACACGCAGGTAGGGCGTCTTTTCCTCCGGCTCAGGTAGCCACGGGTCAATGTCGCTGTCCTCAAGGGAGAAGGGCATGCCCGTGCCAAAACTCCAGCGGATGTCGAGAATGTAAATCGACCAGAAGAGTCGGAGGACGCGGTCTTTGCCTGCCTTGGCTATGGATGGCTGGCTGAGGGTTTCGCGGCGGTGAAGGCCTCGTTCGAGACACATGCGCTCGACGATGCCGATGGTACGCCAGGCGAGGGTTTCTTCGTCGATTTGAAAGTAGAAGATGGCCTACAACTAATAAGACATATTTCCGAATATAGGGCATGGGTGTACTCACCACCAACGTCAAGAAGATGATGTTCTTGATCCCCGCTACTCCCCAGACAAAGTTATCCGCCACTTCTCGGACACTCTCGAACAAGCTCAGCGCCAAGGCACTGCTTCCCGCTGCCTCGGCTGTAAGCGCACAAGCAAACACCAGGCGCAGAATATGCACAGCGGTTCTATCCAGCTGCTCTTCGTTTCCCTGAGCAACGGGTATCCGGGGCCACGACTCCGCCCCATACAACAACTCGACCTGATGCAGGAGCTGCGGTAGCTCTAGCACAGGGTACATAATTCCCATTTCTTCCTCGTACACGCGACACAGCCGCAACGCTTCACTCTTCCCGATGGTCCACAGTGGATCACCGGACGGATAATGGCGCGTGCGTGGCGGCGACGCAGCGACAGCCATGGGGATCACCTGAGAAGGGGCCGTATCGCCCTCGTCGCCGTCAACATCGCCGTCTTCAGCATCCGCGACATCGGGATGTTCTTCGACGATTCCGCGACGCTGAAGGCTGGATTTCGCTAGGTCCAGACTGTACGCGGAGGTGGTTGGGCCTTGAAAGACAGATTCTTTCTCTTTGATGGAGGAGTGCCGCCGGAAGGGTCGCTGAGATGCTACGTCCGACCGCGGCAGTGCTGTTGCTGTTGAGACGAGGGTATTTTGCGTCAAGGCGTGCACGGCTGTGGTGAGGGTAGTGATTTGCTCCTGCATGGCTGTCATTTGAGTCAGGAGACGATCGAGTGTTTCACTGGTTCATGTTAATCGTGTTTCTCGTTTTTACATCTCTAGAGAGGATTATCGTACTGGTTCTCTGCGCTGCTCTCTGGTCGTGGCGGCGCCTCGTACACACACTCGATGCGCTGGCGACCGCATCGCTGACAGGGCGACTGCCCATTACATTTGATTTTGCGTCGCTTGCATTCATTACTGGAGAGTAGATTAGATGCGATCGGTGAATGCATCCGAGTAGCTAAGGGGGAGCAGCAATACCAAGCTTTGGCGATGTATTTGCGACGGCGTTTGCGCGGTCGGGCCTCGTCCCGATCGCCAAGATCGTCGTCTGGGGGTCGCTCCCACGAATCGAGGGGATGGCTGTCCATGTTGTGGGAGTGCCTGGTGGGTAAGTATCCAGAGGACAACGACGAGATGTCTTAGAAGAGAAGCAAGAATGCAGAGTCGAAAAGATGGAAGAACGATGCCGAGAGGCAGAGAATCCAGCGATGCATCATTGGATGGGCGGCGGTGAAGGAGCGCCGATCGGCCACCACGGCGGGGTTCCGCAGTCTAGTTCGCAGCCATTGCTTTAGTACGAGAATCTCTCGGGCTGTTATTCGTCAATGGAGATGATGGCTGACAGGCTACAGTGGGACGAGATGCAGTTCCTCGGCTGAAGGTGGGTTCAATGGGTTGCTTTGCTCGCTACGTGTCCTTCGTACAGAGTTGCACCGTGTCACCACTTGCAGGTGGGTTTCTAATGCCACGGAGAAAGTTTGTAGATAGATAGATAGATAGAGAGAGAGAAAGATAGGCAACAGGTCAAGGCAGCATTCTACTATGTATATACATCCAGAATCGTAAAATTCGTCAACTAGGAACCCTTTACAAATCCTTAGTCCGCTCATCACTTTCCACAATCCACTGTTGCAGCTTCACCGGATCTCTCGGCGTAAAGCCCACCTTGAATGGCTTGGGCTCCGTTGTCAATCCCGTGGGGATTTCATTGCACTCCAGCGCATCCAGGATAGGCCGATCGGCCACATCCCGTGAAGGGTGCATGGTGAACGCGGTGATTAACCGAATGTAAGCCGTGTAGAGCTCGCGGTTGGCCAGATGAGAGCCGGCACACATGCGCGAACCAGCCCCGTAGCCATAGTGCGGCGTGCCCGAACCCTCACCGATATCCAGATAGCGCTCGGGAATGAACTTTTCCGGCATCTTGAAGTGGTCCTCGTCGTAGTCGGCGGCCCAGGCGTTCTGACCTAGTTAGCAATCGCGTAGTGATGGGGCACTGTAGTGGCCAGACTCACCATGAAGAAGGTCGTTCCGGCAGGGATAGTGGCACCGTTGTACTCGATATCCTTAGTGCTCTCGCGGGGCAGGCAGATGGGAATGACCGTCCAGAAGCGGAGAGTCTCGCGGACCAGCGCGCTCACGTAGGGCACCTTCTCCTCCACCAGACACTTCTCCCAGGCCTCTCCGTTGGGGTAGACCTTCATAATTTCATCGTAGGCCTTTTGCTGGATCCGCTGGCCATCCTCGGATGCCAGATAAGCGATGCCCATGACCAGATTTCCGGGGACAGTGTCCAGTCCGGCAGACACCATAGTGACGCAGATGGATTTGATCTCGGCTGATAATTGTCAGAATTGTTATAGTCAGAAGCGCGTGGGGCTGCTCACCTTCATTCAACTTAGCCTCGGGGTCCTTCAGAATGTTACCCGTGATGCATGGCTTGTCGGTGCCCTTGGCAATACGGTCCTTGAGAATCTCCAGCAGATAGCTCAGATACTTGTCGCGCCGCCCGCGGAACTCCTGTGCCTCACGGTTCTGCTTGGGGAAGATACGAAGCAGAGGGATGTAGTCCTGCCAGTTGTTGCTGGTACTGCGGAAATTGGCGACACCACGCTCGACATTAACGATCTCGTGCAGCAGCTCATCGTTCACATTGCCCTCGATACGGAAACCGTAGTTAAGAGTAAGACTGGTGTTGAGGGCGAAGCGCTGGAAGTAGGCCTTGGGGTTGATATCGCGGGCGCCGTTCTGGCTGTCCTTGAACAATTCCTTGATACTGGCGGTGCATTCGAGGTCGATAATGGGCATGTAGGATTGCACGGCGGGACGGTTCAGCGCGGTCGCGGCGGCCTTGCGACGACGCTTGCAGGACTCATCCCAGGGCGAGGTACCGATAGTGAAGCCTTGCGAAGAGGATACGACGCTGTGGAAGGTGTGGAAGGTGGGACGGGAGATCAGAGCAGACTGGTCTTTGATCCAGAGCTGGCGGACAGAGTCGAAGCTGTTGGCGAAGACGACACGCTGGAAAGAAGCAAAGAAAGGGCGGGTCAGGAACAGGATCCGTTTAAATTAATTAGGTCTCCGATCGCATATTTCACTTACCTTGTTGCCCATGCGGACTTGGAACACAGGGCCAAATGACTTGGCCCATTTCCGGGCGACGATGGCATGTTGAGTGCCTAGTTGGAGGAGATTGCCAAAGAGGGGCACACCGGGGATTTCGGGGATGCCCTTAATCTTGGGCACATCGGTGCGGTTCATGTAGCGCACCAGGAAGTAGACCACCGCCGCAGCGGCGATAAGAATCGTCTGGATAGCCATGATTGTGGTGTAGACGATGTGATATGGATTCTTCAGTTTCAGGGAAGAATGCGAGCGACGCGAACCCTTTATAAGTATGCTGACCGCAATGCAGCTGTCCTCGGCTGGTGATGGTGGATACGATATCATCTGGAGACAGCCACCCGCCGTCATTCCTACGGCTCCAGTTCCGACCGAGCAACATGTCCAAGCTTTGGCTGGTCCAGTCTGGTAGTCTGGGCGCACTTTACCTTTCACTTTCCCCGCACTATCGCTCCAATCTTTGGCAATCGGCGGCCCGACATTGGCTTTCCACTTATGCCCCAGTGCGGCAATTCGGAATGTCCTTCCGCACTGCGGTTGGCTGCGGAACCCTCCCCCCGGTTGTGTTGGCTCCTGCAGCCGAGAGATGATGATCTTCGCTGGCTTGGAATGATAGGATGAAGATAGGTTGCAGCATCCAGTATCAATATCGAGCGCAGTCTATTGTTACTTAAGTGCGTCGATATCACCTCTGCAGCCATATCGGCATTATATATATATATATCGTTGTGCCCAGTACCTCTGGGGATCCATTCCCCTACAACATATTCCCGCACTTTAGTAGATACTTCACAATAGCTTAACACGGTCATTTTAGTACTCAAAGATACCAGTAGTAGTACTACTTCGTAGTACCATCGAGATTCGAAGCACGGGTGCCTTGATATACCTCAGCTGTAAGGAATGTTTTCAATCTGAATTGCCATGTTCTACTCAGGGTCTGCTTAGTGAGCTATCTATATCCTGAGGTCTACCCTAACTGTTTTCAGATAAGCAGTTCTACCAAGACCTAACCGGAAAGCCATGAGCAACAGAAAGAGGAGTCGAAGCGAAAAGAAAAAGACACTTTAGAAATTTTCTCCACAATTCTCTTTGCACTCCTGCATCATCTACCACCCTGAAACGTTTATGCCCTTTTCACATTCTGTTATTCAAGGCCGACGTGGCCGCCGAGGCGCGCCGGGATGGTAATAAGGATTCGGTGCAAAATAAGCACCTCCAGAATTCTGTTCGATGATATCTCCGTACGCCTTGATATCATCTTCGGAGAACGCCCAGCTGTTTCCGTTTTGCATGGTGTGAGAGGGGAGGGCCTACATCAATTAGCTCAATCACACTGACACAAGATGAAGTGGGGCCTACCTGATCCCACTTGTCATGGTACACATGATAATCGCGAGACCATGTCGAAATGTATCCCAAATAATCGAGACGCATGTATTGTCTCTTTTCGTAGCCATTCGCACTTCCCCCATCGCCATAGAACCAGTACAGACGCTCATGGTTGATGAGAATCGCCCACTTGCCCATGGTTCTACTGCCGTAACCTGTGTACCATTGCATGGTGATGAGAATATAATAAGACACTAAGGGTATATTCCTGCAGCTATTGTTCGATTGATTGTCATAATAGAAAAGGAATTTCTGTGTGCGGTACTTCATTGAGAGACGGGGTGAACATTCCCGTATTTATAGACATCTTCCAGCATCAAATCTATATACGACCGCAGATATCCGCAGATTTACGAATCATGTAGATCGATCGTGAAGAAGTTGAAGGTGTATCTACTTCATGTCCAAGGGGCAATGTGATGTCCAGTGTGATTGGCCCATATCAACTACGCATGGGCCGCCTGTTCACATAGACGGCATCTTTCAGCTCACCACTACCCTACCAGTATGCTAAAAGGAGTCATGATCACCCTGATGTTACATCTCTCAGCTTATAATCACATCTTCAGTGTGATGAGAATGGTCAGTATGAATACTGCAATATCGAATCGGATAGGCGATAATCCCATTTCTCAGCTCCTGCTCTACTCAGAAGTTGCGGAAATGGCGGTGATCGCTACCACAAGAGGAATGCTCATCTCTCAGCTCCCTGTTGTAAAGTGTGCACAAAGCCAGCAATTTTACATTCCAACTGGATATCCAAGTATAGCTGAGAAAGTCTGGTGCGCATGACCCATGTCCTCAGATAACCATGATATCATATATCAGATGGCAGATGACAACGTGTCACTTGATGTCCTTTGCCAACAGGAGTACCCCTTTGCTCTGCACAGGAGCAAGATATATAAGCCCACTACTGTCGTGTTCAGACTTGGTTCAGACTTGAGCTCTCGCACTTCAAGAACGCCATCAATACGCAAATGACCATATAATGAATTATTACCTTCCCCGAGCATCCGTTGAGAAGCTGTCTAACCACTGAAGTTGGCATAGCTCTTCCGCTGACCTAGGATACGGACAACCTGCTGAAGTGGGTGACCAATCCTTATCCTTTCGTACATACATCCAGGTTGGTCTACTCATCCTTCCCTCATCATGCCATATCATACCATACGTGATCCATTTACATCCCTACTGCTCTTAAAAGTAGAGAATTCTAGGCGACGAGGATATTCAATCCTGTATGACTTGAGTATACTGTGGCAAGAGGTTTGGACAAGAACTAAGCCCACCAACACCGGCAGGAACTACAGCTGATAGATCGACAAGACTTTTCAGATAAGTAAACCTTGTTTTATTCCACATACATTGAAGTACACGTGTCCCGACGCCCTGGGAAGACAGCACATCGAGCAGAAAAAGGAGAGAAAAGAAAAACGGGTATCTATGCATACATGCGGATCTTAACCGTCAATCATGGCGTCATTCGGACCAGCCAAAAAAGGAAACTCCGACAGATCGCTCCCTCAAATACCTTTACCGCAAACCAGGCGCTTAGGCCATGGATGTCTTGCGCGAGATGGTGACCTGACTAGACCGACGGACGGCTGCGTGCCGCTGCCGATCCGCCTCCAGAGTCTGGGCGAACTTGCTTCGGGCCCGGATCTCAGGTCCCTTCCAATAGAAGATGTAGATGGGGACTGTCACCAGGACGGACAAGCAGCCAAGAATGGTGCTCGCCCATTGGAGATGGAATCTGCCACCGATATTGGTGTACATCGGTGTTGCATACATGGCTGAGAGTCCAGCGAGCAGATCTCGCGCAAACCCATTGCCTCCCGTCGCAGACGCAGAGTATTCTCCATAAGCGGCAACCATGTAGTCGATGGTAGCCATGTAGATGCCGTAATTAGCAATAGCGATCAGGAACACAAATACTAACGGTACGATCCAGTGGGTGTACTCGGGGCCCATTGAGGTCCAGGCGAATCCAAACAGTCCAATCGTTTCAAGAGGCGCAATGAAGAGCAAAAGTAGAAGGCGTCGCTCAGCGTATCGAGAGGCATTTCCCTCCCGGCGTCGTACCAGGCGTTGACGGTAGATGTCGGGTAGGAAGATACCGTAGGCAAACAAGTAGCCGATCACAATGGCAACGAAGCACAGACCGATTTGGACGGCATTGAACCCCCATTGTGCGAAGACCAAAGAGAACGACTCAATGCAGGTGAAGATGAGCGCATCGGAGAAACCGGAGAGCAAAGATAGAAAGAGCACAATGGGTTCACAGAGGAACATCTCGAAGGGTCGGCGCCAAACGTGTAGGACCTCCTTGATGTTGAGTCGGGAGGGCTTCAGCTCGTTCGGTCCATACACGTTAGGATCCTCGCCGGTTTGTCGTCGGCGTTTGGCCTCTCGGTCCAGAAGAATCGTCGATCGAGTCTCACAGACAAGGAAGAAGTGCAGGAGCTGAGTAGCACCACCAAAGATAAGCTGGATCCAGAAGTTCCACCGCCAGCTCAACCACTGCTGCATCATTCCGCCAAATATCGGTCCAATGGTGGTGCCTCCCACGGAGGACAAGACCACATAAGCGACAGCAAAGCCCTGATCATCGGGCTCCCACATGTCAGCCGTCATCCCGAGAGTCACAGAGCCGCCTGCAGAGCTAATACCACCAAGGCCACGACAGACAACCATCGTTGCGAAGTTAGGAGCAAGAGCACACGGTATCTGCCAGATATTCACGAACAGTAGACTGAGCTGCATTATCGGCCACCGGCCGTACTCCTCACTCCATGGGGCCCACAGTTCACAGCCAAAAGCATATGTGACTAAAAAGATCATTTGGCCTACTCGGGCGGCCTGTTCACTGATATTAAAGTGTTCGGAGAGTTGCGGGACGGCGTTGGAGTAAGTACTGCTGTTGAAATTCATTGACATTTGCACGACGAAGATGACCGTAAGGATTGTCCATTTTTTGTACCATGGAAAACAGAAGCCCAGCTTCTCGTAGCAGTCGTCCTCGGTAAGTTCTCGTTTCACGGGGCCGTGAAACTTCCCTTGAATTTCGCTATCATCATCTGGCTGGGTGGCATGCTCGGCATGCATATTCCCAGGTTGGCGCGTGGGACTGAAAGCCTCCTCCTTTCCTGAGGGCTTCTCCAATAGCTCTTTTGTGTCCATGATCAGAGAATTGTTTCTTAGGTGATCCAAAGAAACACTGCCGTTGTGGGATTCATGAAATATATCTCGAAAAAGGAATGGGCCAGGACACGAAGGCCAAATAAAATGTCGGGCGAGGTTATAGTCCTGTACCAGTAAAACAGAGCGCTGGGAAAGAACAAGGAACTGGAAGGTAGGTGGGTTTGGTATGGATGGAGAAGGCCACACCAGGAACAAGGCGAGCGTCTTATATAGTGAAATCACATACTTCAGCCCTGCAGACCCAACATCGGAGTTGAGGGTGGCCGAATGCACCGCTCTAGGAAAAGCAATGGTGGCACGACGTCATGAACGTCGGAGTATCCGAGGAAACGATTGTAGCGTGTAGCAGTAGGCGTAGGGAAGGTGCAGCTCCGATATCGATCGATCGCCGTGGGGCCACGGCCGGGACGATCAATGAAAATGCCTGGAACGCTCTGGATTAACTTTCATTGCTTCTCCCCACCATTCCTGTGTTGATGAAGGTTAGCCGCACATGGCACACTCAAGTAACACAATGCACTGCGCCTTGTACCCAACGCCTGCAAAGTCCCGCCCTTGAAAAAAGAAAGCAAGAATGTGACAATTTCTATGACAAATGAGCTCAAGCTACACACCATCATCGTCGGCATTACCCCGTGAGATGTCCAGTGCCCAAGCCATCGAATACCTTTGATAAGGACGTTGGGTTGTCGCGCCAATCAGCGGCTCGAGCGCTTGTCGGGGTACCCAAAGCGGTAGTCCGGCCACCGACCGCATCCCAAACCGCAGACGTTGTTTGGTCCATCCCATCTTCAACCACCAACCATGACGCCATTCCAGAGGCAAAACCCTTGACAAATCCGGTTTGCATGGGGATATCCACGTTCTTACTGCATGTAACCCTGCAGCATGGCCATCCATGGATAGGCAAAGCGACCTATCGCCTGACATGAACGAGCTATGACTGAACTAGACGGGCATGTTCAACGTTGAGAATGGTAATGCCCGGTGTAAGCAGAATAGCATCACTTGATGGGCCGAGCAAATGGCATCACTTGCTCTAGAACATTGCCCGTTCAGAATTGTGCACCGCCACATTCCTGGGGGCTACTTCTAGACAATCTACACTCAAGACTCCTTACCGTGGACATTGTGTAGGGTACTTGCCTCCTATCCCTTGCTTCGGAGGATGGGGACCGGTAACAGCGCATTTCCGTCGTCGCGTGGCTGCCGGAAAAGAGACCGAGCGAGTGTCATTGACAACCGAACAGCAAGACGACATGTAGCCTGCAATAAAGGGTGTCGGCACCCAATCGCATTCAAGTATGTATTCACGATGTCCTTTGACAGGTCAATGACTCTGCCTTTCTGGCACCTTCTTGGCGTTACCACTACATTCATGGGGTGATGCATCTGGTAGCACAATAACCACCATGCCGGGATTGCCAAAGTGTTGACCGAGCCGAAAACGTGTCGGGCCGGCATCGGCAGGGCTGCTGCAACAGTTTTCTTACGGAATGTAACCTAATCTTAGTGATGGCGTACAGGTCGTCCAATCATTCGCCCACGGAGATGGTAGGAAGGATGAATCGAACAGCCAACAAAGAGTGTCAAGCGTTCAGTTTAACGGAAGATGGTATCACAGACGCCGACGGAAGTATGGCCTAGGGAGAGGCGAATGCAGAGGGAGTGAAGTATTCTAGTGTAGCTCGACCATGAAGAGGTCCATATTGTCGACCGGGCATTCTCACGATAACGAGCCAGGCATCAAAGCATTGTTGATTCGGGGTACCGGACTGATCCCTCGTGGTTATCCGTGGAACATGTGCCATTCATGCAATTCGATTGGCCTTGCTTGCATGAGGTGAACAAGATGTTACATTCTTGGAATGTAACCTGGCTGTGTCTGCAGGCATGCAGGGAAAGGAATGAGAAAGGAATGAAGATGGAAAGCAAATGAAAGGAAAGGATCACGCCCTTGCGCAGTC